TTTTTTTTAAGCCTATTTTGTTAGCTGTGCTCAGTGTGACATTGTAATGTTGGATTTGCTTGCTATCGCATCGCCTGGAGTGGCAGTGTGATGTTCTTTGCACGAGCTGACATTCTGGAGGAGCACTGGAAATGAAAGTGATAAGTCCAAACACTGTTTTTTACTTACGTTATCCGTCTAAAGGGATGCCATGGCTTTTTTTTGTCAGTCCTCAGTAAAGATCTTCCTTAGAGGTATCAACCGCGCCAATGCACACTTTGGATTTGGATTCGGTATTTTTCACATTAAGCTACTACAGTCAAAGGTTGAGGCTGTGAAGATAAGTTCTCCTTGTGATGATAGGTCCAGTGGTGAATATGAAAGTACTACTACGGCGGATTTACTACCCACTATGCAGCGTCTTTCGGAGCCAACAAAATAGATTGTAAGGTTCTTCAAAGGGATAATGTAACTTTGCCTTTTCAATGTTTACTATAAGTGTTTTTCAGCTATGTCCCTTACTTGGCTCAAGTTGGATGACATGGAGCGTTTGTTTGGCCGCCAGCGCCATACTTTGTAGAGTCTGAGCCAGTAGGAGAATTAGAGCAGCTAGCCTTGACTTCATTGGTTAAGAATTATTCAGATAGAAATTATATGTTCACCAGAGCAAGTGAGTTTGGTAAAGCGGAGCTAGCACGCTGCAAACGGAGTTAAGGTAGAGAGAATGCCCACGCCTAAGGAGCCAGGATGCAAGGGAGCGTGTGGGGAGCGGAGCGCGTGGGGAGCGGAGCGCGTGGGAGCGGAGCGCGTGGGAGCGGAGCGCGTGGGAGCGGAGCGTGTGGGGAGCGGAGCATGTGGGGAGCGGAGCATGTGGGGAGCGGAGGTGTGGTGAGCGGAGAGTGTGGGCAACGGAGTGCGTGGGGGCGGAGCAATCGGGTAGTGGAGCGCCAGGTATGATGAGGAGCTGCTAAACCATAACTCTGTCACGTAGAAAAAGAAGCGCACATGGCTAGACGGGCGCGGTGGACAATTGGGTCAGGCGATGGCTCTATTTCATCTATATGAGATGCAAGTCGAAAATCATTGGATTCTAGAAGTATGCAATCGCCAAACTCCGGAACACTGATGATGTAAATGCTGGACTTTAAACAGCATGCAAATATGTAAGCAGTGAAGGCTGATTCGAGCAGGGCCTTAGTGACACTGTAATTAAAGCGCACGGGTTGAACTTAACTATTAATATGTCTCGTGCAGCGCATTCTGGCTCGTTTGCCCGCTCGATCTGGTCATTTGCTCGTTTTGCATCGCGTGGGGCCCATGGCGGAAGGGTGTTTGAACGGTTCATCATGCAAGACGAGAGACTTGGCTAAAAATATCTTTTTAAGTATGTATGACATACAAAATTGCCTTGCTCTTTGCGCATCCTCCTAAGGTGTGGCCTCAATCTTTGACCCTATTGGTGAACGCGCTCACAGTTCGGGCGAAATTGCTCTTGGCCGCTTCTTCGTGAACTGGTTCAGCTGTCAGTGCTTCTTGTTAGCAGTGATCTTCACCCGATAGGTCTGAAATCTGCCACTGTAAGTGCATCGGCTGGACACTGGACAGGTTGTAAGAGGTCCGATGATTTTGGTTCGCTTTCAGGCCCGGCCTGGGGTTTTGCCATGTATCAAGCGACGGAGCATATCTAACAAGTTGACTTTCACTTTGCTGTGGCAGGCCCTTTCACTGATGTTGATTGCGATTGGCTGCGGCAAGGCGAAGTGCAACGCATTTAAACTATACGGGTGATGCTGTACATTGATTCTTGCCTAGGACTGCTCTTGCCTTCTCTGTTTCGCCTGGATCTGGACGAATATAATGGAGTATGGTGTGCGCCGACAGAATTGGCATTTAGTTTAAAATTGTTCTAACTTTTTGTACTGCACTGAAGCACAAACATGTTGCACAGGTTGTAAGTGGTCTGATGATTTTGCTATGCCTTCAGGCCTTTGATTTCGCATTATCAATGAAAAGGAACGAATTTGCCAACCCGATTTTGTTGCGACAGGCCCTTTCACTGACACTGATTCTGGGTGGTCGAAGCCAGGAGAAGTTTACATGGTTTCGAGGAATAAAAGATGTGAAGCTGCAGAATGGCTTGCGCAGGATTGCTTTGGCCTTTTGTATCTCGGGGATACCTGGAAGAATATGATGGAGGATGGTGTGTCTTGAAGCACTTGGTGATCACATCCTAGCACCAACCTAGCGCATGTCAACACAGATTTTTTATACAAGGCGATTGTTTCATGGCGTCTATCATCGGGCGCTGTTGCGACCAAGCAGATTTGGCAACACGCTCCAACTGCTCCTTGCCTTGCCTTTTCAGTGTGCAATATCTAAAGCATAGTTGATTTGCCCACTGCGAGTGAACAAGGCGACTACTTTATGCAGGGAATCATCCGTCGTCTTACTCACGTATGCCATGCCGGTTGCTATGAAACCATTCAATGTGCCTTGGCCGGAAAACAGCGGAATTGGTTTGAATTTGCGTGAGTTTGCAATGATACCTGCCAAGGGCGCAATTCTGGATTTGGATTGAAGCAAGTTGCCACTGGTGGGTGCAAAGTCAAGGAGTCAAATGTGAAGCTGATTTCTTGCCCATTGTGGTGTGACTCGCTTGTGAAATACAAGGTAGTACGCTCACATGCCACAGGTGTCTCATGTCGATACCGTAGATGCACATGGTAGCCTGCAGGTGATGCCCTTGCGTGGAAGATTGCGAGGCGGTGTCGCAGCACGACTTCATTTCCAGTGGGGCTGGAGCTTCCCAACTGGAAAAGAATTTCGCGGAAGCAGTGGTACTTCCGATTCAGGCTTGGACATATAGCTGTTGAGATTTGCAATTGAATTAAAATTCTTGTAAGGGGGCAGCGAGCGGCTCCACTACATGAACCACATGCAGAGGCTGAAAAGCAAGCGGCAGCTTTGTTCGCCTTGTTCACATACTGCTGCTGTCGACCCGAGGCTCCAGCGCAGTCAAGAAATGATACTGGTCGGCTGCAGCCTAAGGTTTTTATAATGCTCAACGATTTGTGATTTTGTCGAGCTTGCTGCATTGCGGCCAAGGCCCGGAACTGATGAAGGTATAACATGCCAAGGCGGGCGTAACTACATCCTTCTCCAGTTTCTTGCTTGCTGTGTCCTTAGCCTTTGTAACCAGCAGATACCTGGTGCTTTCCCGATTCACTCTCATGACGCCAGTTCCACAAACAGCTGACTTCCAAAAGAATGCTGCTATGTGGAGTATCTGGGTCCAATTCAAATTGCAGTGGTGGCTTAACACTTTCTGTGAGCCGCCCACATTCTTATTTAAGGTGATTACTTTATGAAGACGATTGTCAACCGCTTGACCTGTGAAGTTGGTCAACGGTATCTTGGCCGAGAGAAACTAAATGACCATATGTGAAGTTTGATATCCCAGGCCACCATTGTCCAAGCGCCAGAAGCGGCGACGGTACGAGGAGCGCTACTGGGAGAACGTCTACACCAACGCAATTGGCAGGCATCAACGCATTCTCCGAAGGCGGGAACTAGCTTTTGAAAAGCTCTTCGAGGCAGGGTCGTCAGTGCAAGCTTACATGACAAGATATAGGTCATGAAAAGGGTAGTCTTGAGGAATCTGTGAGTGTGTGGCGCGTGTAGTCGTCAGGAATACGAGTGCATAGTCCAAGCAGAAAGGGAGAAGATGACTATGCCAGATGCCCTTTCTTTTTCTTCACCACCCCCAGGCGCATCGGTTTTTTAGAATGAAAAAGCAGAAACCCACCCACATGTTACATGCAGTTCTGCTTGGTGCCTTTGCTGCAACCTTCTTGAGGACCATGCGCTACTACCAGCAAGCCTTTGGTGCAAAGACGCTTCACGGAAGTGTGCCTAGTGGATGCGTTTCGCTCCATTGGCCTCAAAGTACCCTACACTGGTGATGGGCCATTTTGGGCTGTGGAGGATGGCCAAAAGATGCTGACTCCTTTGAAGTGCCTTGGTGTATTTGGTAAGAATGTCTTTTTGCTTTCACTCCTCAGTTTCAACCCAAGCTACCTACATGACCAAGTCGCTACAGGCACACCATATTTGCTGTGGATATCGCTCCAGCAGCAGATTTGCAGCCCGGTAAGTATGTCCTCTATCGCCAAAAGCACTTCACTGGCTTTCGTGTATTCGATGACGGAACCTGCAGAGTCCAGAGTGGTCCAAAATGCTACATGGG